AGCATCTACTGATGTTAATCTTTATAATTTCAGGTGTCAGTCCTAATGGCCGAACTCCTTTCGGTCGATCAGCTCTGTATGCAGCAACTTGTCGAGATAACGACGCCATTTTGGATCTTCTGCATCAATCTGGCGCCGTGATGGAGGTCAAGGACGCCCGAGGTGAAACGCCATTATTGTTGGCTCGGCGTATTGCGGCTAAATTGTGCTTCAGGAAATTAAGATTATGGAGTTTGGATAAAAATGGTCTCCGACTGTCGAAACCATTGAACGGAATGGTCAAAAATATTAACGTCAATCTTCCAGTCAACCGGAAGTTACGTGTGAAATTTCAACAAGACGAACCATTGACCTACATGCCACGGCCACCCACTTCGTTAGAAGGGAGTAGGAAAGATATGATTAAAAGTGAGAGGTCGCGAGAAGCGAAAGTTGGTTCCGATAAGACTCGTGCTACTGAAAAGGGAACTGAAAAACGGCAACAAGAAAAAAGTCCCCCGGTTGATGCATCTTCTCAAAAGTTGCCTACGTCGAACACTCGACCAATGACTTCTCATATCCCGGAAAGACCATCATCTCAGTGTTTCGTTTGGGATATTGACGATCGAACAAACCGGAACGTTGGCGCAGAAATACGTATTCCAAGTGTGCAGCCCGAACCAAGATCCAAAAGTGCTAAACACGCCGTGCGATGGCGGGACGAATCGTTAGTAGAAATTCACATGAATCCTAAATCAGATTCGATTAAACCCAGTTATCCGACCACGATCCTGAAAAACAAAGCTCAGATGGAAAATTTTGAAAAAAGAGGCAACCTCATTCGAACACTAAGTAAAGAATCGCTGGATTCGAACTCTTCAACACTGAAATCCGATAACCAGAGTCAACCGGACAGTGAACTGACGTTAGTGTCTGCTCCCGGAGAGGGAAGTCGTATGAACATGTCGGACTGTCGTAGTGTTGAAAGCGCTCCGGCTACGTCTGGCATCAACAACAGAAATAAACTGGGATCAGCGAAAACTCATCGACATAAGGGAGGGTTAGTAGAGATTCTTTATTTTTTGAAAGTAACCTTGGTATAAGGGTAAAGGGCCCTAGCTTTTTATGAAATGTGAACTCCCCAAAGATGACCATCAACATCCAAATAATGGTCTAAGCTTGTCAGTTGTATTTTGAGAGTATCCTATATACTGGGCCACAAACTGTATTGTTGGTCAATGTTATAAATTCATGAAAACCTCGCCGATAATCTAGTAGAGTAGTAGAGCCAAGCGAAACAATATGGATTTACAAACATAATCCTACTAGTATTGCCAAATGTATCAAAACTTTCTTTCTTTATTCCAAACTGTTCAATTTGCAGCGGACTATAGAAATAATAAAATAACTGTTTTTCTCATTTCAGTGTACGTCTGCTTCCATTTCGAAGAAAAGAAAACGAAAACGACAGAGCTACGACAGCAAAACGTCAGATCCGGTTGTCGGAGAAACAGAAACGAAAAGAAAGACTGGTAAATGCTGAAACTTTCGAACAATGGCTCGAGAGAAAACGGATGCAAGAATGTCGGGAACGATTAATCAGCCAATCAGATGAGAGTTCCCACGATGGCGACTCAGATGGCGGGAATTCAGCCGCCTATGATGAATGGATGAAAAAACGCGGGAACCACCAGCTTCACGCGCAACATCATATGACGGTTCGGGAACTGTATAAACTGAAAGATCGGCCGGTACGGGGAATTGTTACGGTTGGAGAAGCTCAAATCGCTGATACGATCAAGACGCCCGAATCGCCGGATAAAAACATGCGTTGCTACCAACAGTGGAAGGGGAAGAGATCGGAACCGAAGAAACATGTCGACCCGGAATTGTTGAAAGCGAGATTGGAACGTAAACGACAGCAACTTCTTGCCGCAGCTGTAACGTATGAAGATTGGTTGGAGACGGCAGAACAGAAGAAATTGCTGATGAAACAAATTCTAAAAGCTGACATGAAGGAACTGGAACGGATCGAAGAAGAAAATTTAAAGAAACGCTCCCCACGGCAGATTTCTTTTGATAAATGGAACAGTGGCCTTTTAAAACGAGAATTAACTGAAAAACAAAGGAAAGAAAGAGAAAAACGCGAAGTCGAGGTTTTGAAAGAAGAACAGTTGCGAAGTAGTCTTTGCGTCACACATGACGTCTGGCTGGAACGCAAACGTCAAGCCACAAAAGTCAAGCAGAAGACGTCAATGGGACCAACATCTCCGAGAACCCAGGCGGAACGTGACAAAGCTTTTGCATCTTGGGTGAGGCAGAAGCAACTTCACGAAGCATCTGAAGTTGATGTCAACCAAGGAAGAGCACTCTTGAACGAACTAAGGAATAAACGACAAGAGTTATCTGCACCTTCTTCGTGACGAAAACACATGTTCTGGCATTTTTTGTAAATCAAACTCATCTTATTTTGATTTTTAAATAAGTTTTTTTTAAATACTTTATAATATATATGACAAAATTGTATTAGATATTATTTTAAATACAGATCAATAGGCTTGGCCCTACATATGACCAAAGGATGAGGGTAAACGGTAAACAAGCTCAAAGTATATTTTTATGGGACAAAGGATCCCCTAGCTCAGAACTTGCTCTGATCGCTGCAATGTTGCTATGTCTATTTGAAAGACAAAGCCTACCAGGAAAGTCATCGATAACGATCAGAAGCAAGACGTAGAGTCGCTAAGTTTAGATCGCCATCAGTAATAATTTAACTACATACAGTAGGCTACCAGAACCAAGAAAGACAATCTAGACCCGGACAAGCCCCAGAAAACTCGAACCTAAAGATGTCATCAAGGTGAGAATCACAGGTGCTTAACGACAATAGTTCCATCACTGGATCCAAACCAAAGAGCATCCTCATCACCAGCTATACAACAAACATTCTTCAGCCCAGAAAACCGAGAATACATGATTTCTCTCCCTTGTCCGTCTGCTGATAGCTCGTGAATGGCTTCGTTCCCTCCATCTACAATCAAAATGTCCGACCATTTGTCAAAGCAGACGTCCAATGGACAAAGGTTCGGATAGTCCATGCAGTCAATTTTCAGCGGAACGCCATTGAAATCAAAGATCTTAACTATGTCGCTGTCTATCAAAACGATATTTTGGTTTTCATCAATCGCCATTTTGGACGGTCGCTTCAAATCTTCGAGCGAGCACAAGAACGTTTCTTCGATCGGCTTTACGTCTGTACTTGTGACGTAATGACACGTATCATCTCGTGATAGATAGAACATCGACGTGGTATTAGACGCCAGAAGAACCGGAAGTGATGGGGCCACAACTTGCTCCATCTTCGTTCCCTCTGAGTTCAGTTTGAGAAACGACTCTTTCGTCAAAGCATGAATAGTTCGATCCAAAATGGCCAAGGATCGTATGATCTCTTCACAGGAAATGGATTTTAAAGCAGCTCCATTTGCATCGAACAAAATCAATAAAGATTTTTCCTCATTAGCAGCATGACTGGCTATCCATGCTGTCCCACTTTCAAATGGACAGATTGCGTCTACGATTGTCTTTTGCGATGCACATGCAAAGGAACTAGTAGATCCGTAACCTAAACGGAGTCGCAACGCAGGATACTGATTGATCTTTCCAAAAAATTGCTCGATCCGTGGTTTAATATCATCTTCCTTGGCTAGTTCAATACACTGAACGTCGAAGCTGGAACAGTCATACTCGGAGACTAAACCCATCCTTTCCTGCACTTGGTCGCACGTCTCCAAAACACTGACATCAGAATCCGAACGGTTTACAAAATCAACGTACTCAGATGCAGCCGCAACTTGGCGTTCCCAAGTTTTTATTTCATTTTCAATCTTTTCGATTTTCTGTTGCTGTTCATGGTGCGATTGCTTTGCTTCGTGAAGCTTTTCGTCTCGAACGGCGATGACAAGCTTACAAATTGCGTCAGCCTGTTCTTTTATGGACGCAGCCGTTTCTTGGTAACTTTTCTTCACTAACCGTTTGCGATATGACAGTGCGTCGAGTTCGCAATCGAGGTCTCGTAAATGTGATCGCAGACGGTTAGAAACATGTTTAATAGACTGGCGCCCTTTGTTTTTTGCTTCTGTGACATGTTCACAAGAATGATCTTCATGATAATCCATTTTACAGTCAACGCAAACACCTTCGCAACATGTGCGACAATAGAACCGAAAATCTTCGTCATGATCCTTACAGGTGCGCTGCAACTTAAACGCGCGTCGAGGTCCGTTAATCTTTGCGACTTTATGGTATTTTGTAGCTTTCATAGATGCGTGTACGATGTTGCAGTTTTTGCAAATCTTGTGCTCACACTCTTTACAAGAATACCCTTCATCCGTTGCGGTCTTACAGATGTCGCAAGACTCAAACGTGTCTTCATCTTGAGTCGGATGTTGTTCAATGAAAGCTTCAATAAAATGGTTTGTTTGTAAGTCGTCTGCTATGTTGTTTGGTACAAGGATCTCCAGACTGCATGACGGACAGACGAATAGTTCTTTGGTAGAATGTTTGCCGATGTAGTCGTACAAACAACTTTCACAAAACGTATGAAAGCATGGCAGTAATTTTGGTTTTTTGTAGATTTCTGAACAGAGTTTACAGGTTGTTGTTCCTGATGCCATGATAACAATGTACACTTTATAAAATACCGTTATGAGATAGTTACGTCCTTTCAATTTTAAGTTCGCGGCTGATAATTTTGTTTAGTCCTCACAACCAAATAAACTATCCTTCTACAGCACCATATATAAAACGATTTCGGTTATTTTTCAAAGCAATATGCAGATCTGTGGCTTTCGCTCAAGGTCACTATTCTTGTATAAGTGCCCAAATTCCAAATTTGTCTGAAAAACTCATAATGTTCACTCGGTTGAAAAGTATAAGCCCTTTCTCAATTTGATCAAAACAAATCTTGGCTAGTTACCGTTCGAGAAATGAAATATTTCAACAATAGATTAAGAGTAACAAATCACTATTCAATAGACGCTATTTATTGTGATCAATATTTCACGGGGACAATATAGCCTATATTCACTGGGGCAATATACTTATTTACAAGGACGATATCCCATATTTCAATGAAGGCATACCCCTGAAAAAAAACTGTTGTCACATTGTGAAGAAAGGCTCAATATGAATTTGTTACTTACTAAACACATGTATATCAAATAGACAGCCATAGCTAACAATATTGATTATGCGGCCTTACAAATTTAGTCAGAGTGGATTCAGGCATCCAGAAGAGCTTTTAGCACAAAATGGGGGCCCCACATTGGCGATATTTGCGTTGCGTTAGGAACAGTTATCAGTGCAGCCTTTCTTTACTGTTATCTTACAACCGGCAAGATTCTTCCAAAAATCATTAAGCTTTAGTAAGCTAAGAAAAAAGATAATTGATTTAAAATATACATTCTTTCCATGGAAATGTTTGGTTATTATTTCTAAAGTTTTAGTCACTTACAGACCAAGAAATAAATGTTTTTGTTACAAAATATTTATATACAATATCACCATTATATAATCAATTTCTAAAATAATAAATAGACCAGATCAACAAGACTCTTTACTGAATAGATAAGATCAACAAGATTCTTTACTTAATAGACCAGGTCAACAAGACCATTTACTTAATAGATTGGATCAACAAGACCTTTTTGTTAATAAACTGGATCAACAAGACCCTTTACTTAATAGATTGGATCAACAAGACCTTTACTTGATAGATAAGGTCAACAAGACCTTTTACTGAAATAGACCAGGTCAGCAATTTAGTTAATAGATTTGATCAACAAGACCCTTTCGTTAATAGATTGGATCAACAAGACACATTAGCTAATAGATTTAAAGTAACAAGATATTTTTAATTATTTCTTTTCAATGTGACCAAATTTTCACAATTTGACCAAATCTGGGGTTTATTTACATAATATAACAAAATAAAGAGTTATTGCCCTTTATCCACAATCTTAACCTTAACCTACTTAAATCTCATTTTCATGAAACGTTTCTCAATGGCGGAGTCAAAGGGGGGCAATCTTCCCCCAGACATAAACCTGGCTCCGCCACTAACTGTACTACACTAATAAGTAAATAAATAATAGAATATACAACTAGAAATTTAAATGCAAGAGAATTAGAAAGCAAGATCAAGGTTACTTCTATCTTATTACAGCTGGTATGACTCGTGGGTTTTATTCGGGTTCTGTGTTCTTAAATTTCACCCGAATAAGTCATCTTTAACTCATTATTCCAGTCAGCCCCGCTGTTAACGTGTATGAATAATGACCAGGAAGTTAGGTCAAGAACCTTAAAATCAAAACCTTTATCTTAAGCTAAATTTTGATCTTAATTTTCATATTGGTTGTTCAGGCTACTGCTCTGATCAAAATGTCACGGAGACCTACCAGTTGTAACTCATGTTGTTTTAGGAATAGTGTAGGATTCGATAAAATTCTTACACTGTTACTAAAGTAACAGAAGTAGACTTGAACCTTTCTCTCAACCATTTTATAGAAAAATAATACAAAATATAAAGTTTGGTTTATTATTGTCATGGAAAGATAATTAATATGCTTACAAAACTTTAATAAATATCTTATTGTATTTTATACATGTATATTCTGAGCTTTAAAATTCAAAATCAAAACTGAAACAAAGAGCAAGATAAATTCCATTCAGTTTTTGAAAGTATAAAGTTTTCTACGATTATAGACAATGTTCAAACTATCTTAAAAATCGAACCCCAAAAAATGGATTCAGCAATTTCTCTTCAATCAAAAAATTAAATTATGTAAATTTATCACAAAGAGAATATAATAAATCAAAAAGATGAAAAAAGGAAAAGTTGTCATGATTTGCCAAGAAGAGGGGAAAATAATGAAGTATTTCCAACAAATATTTTGTCTTATCATAATAAAATATAACATTGTGTAACACTGTTTTATTGTCCAATCAGAAAGATCTAATTTCAAAAGAGAATTGGCTAAAAAAAACTTGGTATCCAATATGAATATCAAATTTTTCAGCCAAAAAGACTAACACAGTTTGTAACAGATACACATTTACACATGCATGTCCACATTGACACAGATAAACACACAATATGCAGGTGCTTTATACAATATCATCAATATATACATATTATATTTATATCAAATTCTATAAAGAAAAAATAAATTATATCTGATACATTAATTTGACATTAACCTATATTTTAGCACAAATCACACTAAAGCACTTTGAATCAAAATTTGCTGTTTGACAAATCCTTTTTTAAGTATGAAATATTTTAAGAGTGTGATGCCAAAGAAAAAAGAAAAGTTAGACAATTTCCAACTGTAAATGGTAAGTTTCAGATATTGTCAGGTATAAATAAAACTATTTTTGATATGTCATTGCATTGACAAAGTTCAGAATTAGAGATTTTTCACTGGAAGGACTGTCTATGTTAAAGTTAATTTTAGATTTGTGTTAATCACGTAAAGCAATATTAAAATAAACACAGATTTTACGTAACTTTACACATTATTTCATTATTTTACATGATAATCTACTTTATATTCACTGAAATTAGACTGGTTATTTTTATTGCCATACATGTCTGATTTTACAGGAAAAACTTAACAAATTTTATTGCCATTTTGTGTGGTAATCTTCCAGATATCAAAACCCCTAAAATACTAACCATAATTTTTATCTTTGAGCAATGTGGTAAAAACTTCATGAGAAAAATTGTAAATGATCTGTAAGATAAATTCATATTCTAAAAATTGTGAAGAATACCTGAAGCTGTTAAAATAAAGATTAAGTCTAAGATATTTTGTTAAACGTTGAATAAACTGGTTAATCTAATTATAATAATAATAATATGAATTTCTTAAAATTAATAATCTCATCTCAGTTTTAATATTATGCTATGGACTTATCATTATGCTTAGTTTAAAGTTACAATAAGAACCATAAAACAATTTTAATGACCATTTCATATCATCTTATGAAAATGTTTTAACTCAGTTTTTATAAACTCAGAAATTACGATGTTTCCAGTCTGAAATTTGACAGATAAATAATGAAATGGTGAAATAATAGTTACAAATTTTGTACCCTTTTCCATACCAAATGTCCAATTCTGTGTCTTACCCTAATTCCCTTTATTTAGTGTCAAATTTTGTTTTTTTGAAGGTCTTATTTTTTGACAAAAGGACATATAATTATTTCTGCTTTATATTTACAATGTAAGAAATAATGTATTAATAATTGTATACAATAAAAATGTCTAAATATGCTGATTACACTAAAAATCATATTTTATTCTGAAATATAATCACAAAAACAAAATAATAATTAACATAATAGAGGTAGACATAACTTCGTTAAGCAATTTCATATTTTTTTTATGCCACATATGGAAGTATCCTACCAGTTACCTGACACCCCTCAACCTTTTAATGGACTCTTCCACACATGCATTCTTTCAATCAATATCATAGTGTGATGTCCATTTGTGAGAGTTCATTTAGAACCTAAGGGGTGTTTTTATTGCCTATCAAATCATTTCCTTATTAAATCTCTCATCGTAGATACTTTAATTGATATATTTTACTCCAATGTAGGCCTTGAAAAGATTTTGGGCAAACTGTCAAAATGAGGTATGATATTATGAGCTAAAATTCTAGATCTAGAGCCGATTATTGGTGCATAAAAGTAGGATGTAAAACTCCATTAATTTCATTATTAGAGCCGATAATATGAAACTCAAGTTGTTATGGCATTTTGGAAAAAATCTTGATTCTATGTGAGACAAGTTGAAATAAGTAAAAACAGCCAGAATTTTGTTGAGACGTTAAATGCATTATTAAGAAATAATTAAATTTGTTTCTGTGATAGCTTGCTAAGTCTTTCTACATTTCAAAAAAAATATTATTAAACCATTCACCAAAACATAGGAAAAATCAAAAATATTCATAAATATCTCAACTAAATTTAAAATAATTCAAGATATTTGTATATTAGCATGCAAATTATTGGAATGTACAATTATAGCACTTTTCATCAGTTTTCATTTTTAACAGATTTTGGCTGAAAATTGGACCATTGTAGTGCTAGAAATATCAGGGAATCGACTACATTACAAAAATATCAGTGTAAGAAAGTTAGAATTTAATATATTTCAGAAATTAATTTTTTATTTCGTTACCCAATATTGCGATGCGAACCTTATTGTGGCATGATTGGCCATACACAGCACAAGTTTATTAACAATGACCAATTTTACGGCTAAAATCTTTAAATACAATAAAATATTCTGTCCAATTTGGACAAGATTAATTCAACATATAAATTTTGACGTCCTTTACAAGGAGAATTTCTACAATGCCACAATTTACAATACATGGGAATGTGTATATTACAAGTTATAATTTTAAAATATAACTTATTTTACCTTACAAATCTACAGAAATTCAACAGAACATGAGTACAAAGCTTTCGATTCATAAAGTTTCACAAATAAGTTACATGAGCAGCGAAATATTAATATTAGCGGACATTTTGCAGTGGATAAAAGTTAATTTGGAAAACATAAGATATGACAAAAAAATTTGTGTTACACCTTTATACCTCCGTGTGATTAAATTATACCATTTTGAAATACTAGACAGAAATTTTAATCATGCTTATTGCAATCGAAAACAGCATTTTCTTTAATCTACAAACCTTTCTCAATCTAATGTATACAGAATGAGAATTCAAATTCAGAATCAGGCATTTTATTAAGTTAAATAATACTCTATTCTAAAATAAATTAAATCATAGGGTCTATCCACATATTTCTTCATATATGATATGATACAAAGGTTCTGATTGGTCAAAACAAATATATTTCTTCTTCTTGTCCAATCAAATCCAATTGTTGGATGAATCTTGACACAAAGAATTCTCCATGGCCAAACAGCTTGTATTCTATTATCCAAAAAGATAATTTGTTATAAATTCTAACCACAGGATTTAATTGGTTAAACCATCAATTTATCAACCAATCAAAACAATAGTAACATATCAAGTGTATATAAATATGAACAGATCCTATAAAATATGAAAAGCAAATTTAAGGCAATCAAAATCACGATGGTCATGATCTTTGGTTTGAAAGAATTGACTTGAATCACATACAACATTAAATTACTGGCTGTGATGCAGAATTTCCGGTCTTTTACCTTGACCTTGTAGGTTCTTGACCTTTTATGTTTCACCATGACCTCTTGGTCCTTGAACTTTGACCTTGAAGACGTTTGACCTTCTACCGTGATCTTGAATTCTCTTAGTTGTTGAACTTTGATCTCTCAAGGTTTCGATGCTTGTCCTTTCTCTCTCTGTCCTTGAACTTTGAACTTTGACCTTGTAGGTACTTAATCGCACCATTCTTCACCTTTGATCATTCTTCGATGTTTAGAACGGTGTCCAAGATTCATTGGCACATTTTGAAGGAACAACAACTGTTGGAAATTTCAAGCACCAGAAACTCGCGTCAAAATCACTTTAACATGTTTCATCCTTAATCTTAGGGCACATAAACTGTCTAGAAATTCATAGCCCCTTTTTTATGGACAAAATCCACAAAAATCAGACCACAATTGTTTTGAATTTCTTTTAATGCCTATCCTAAAATCAAACAGCTTGGTTGTTACACCCAAACTAAGTCTATGTTTGGGTCAGTTGTCATGGTTTTGAAAATTCACCAAATTTCAGCACATAGATAGAAGATAGAATTCACACCTGGCTTCATCTGAGAAATCTTTTCATTAATTGATTGTTTGAAGCACCTTCATATAGTCATGTTCACAACCACATCCATCCTCCATTTTGTATTTCTCATCTCTAAGCAGACGTCTTAAGATCAAGGGAGATGATTCTGCTGAATTTGTCTAAGGAACACAACTTTTCCTTTTTATTATTACCCCTTCTGTCTATTAACACTGGATTTGATAAAAATAATACACATATACCCTTCTCCATAGCAACACATTTCCTTTAAGCTGATTGGATGAAAACAAGAAGCACACAATTCCATAAAAATACATTTTTTTTCAGTTGATTGAAGAAGAAACAGACTTCAATAAGCTGAAAATCAATTTCTCAAAAACACAATTTTCCATTCCAACTTGAGATAATCCCAAAACAAAAAATAACAATAACATGATTAAATGCGGATCATCGTTTATCCAGATTATTTTTTTGAACGCTTTTATGAATGGAACCACTGAATTCAAACGCTTGCATCCAAATTGTTGTGTAACACATAAAATAAATAACTAACACGCTCGCGAAGAGCAGTAAAATTGTTTTATTTTTGCACATTTTGGTCTGAGTAAATTTGCCAGCCGGACGGCGGATTCCGAACGCAATTGCTAATATTATAATGGCAGACGTAGCAATAATAAACAAACTACTAGACTTGGAAAAACCTGGAAATATAGAGATTTAAAATGAAGGCAAATAAATTTTCATTTTTACAGATCGGGAGAAAACATCTTGTATTATCAAGAATGGAGGCAAGGAACAGATATAGGTGGACAGATCATTGTCAAGTAATAAATTAGATATAAATTCTATCTTAAAGTGTCTTCCCACTATAGCTATTACTAGTTGTGTATAGTTGTGATTACTAGTTGTGTATGGTTGTGAATACTAGTTGTGATTACCAGTTGTGTATGGTTGTGAATAATATGAGTTCTGAACACAATCTAACAACTCAGTTACATGAGAGTTGGTAACCTTACACCTGCTACATTTATTCACAAACATATACAACTGGTAATATGTGTGAGGTTTATTATTAACAACTGGTAATGGTGTGAGGTTTATTATTAACAACTGGTAATGGTGTGAGGTTTATTATTAACAACTGGTAATGGTGTGAGGTTTATTATTAACAACTGGTAATGGTGTGAGGTTTATTATTAACAACTGGTAATGGTGTGAGGTTTATTATTAACAACTGGTAATGATGTGAGGTTTATTATTAACAACTGGTAATGGTGTGAGGTTTATTATTAACAACTGGTAATGGTGTGAGGTTTATTATTAACAACTGGTAATGGTGTGAGGTTTATTATTAACAACTGGTAATGGTGTGAGGTTTATTATTAACAACTGGTAATGGTGTGAGGTTTATTATTAACAACTGGTAATGGTGTGAGGTTTATTATTAACAACTGGTAATGGTGTGAGGTTTATTATTAACAACTGGTAATGATGTGAGGTTTATTATTAACAACTGGTAATGGTGTGAGGTTTATTATTAACAACTGGTAATGGTGTGAGGTTTATTATTAACAACTGGTAATGGTGTGAGGTTTATTATTAACAACTGGTAATGGTGTGAGGTTTATTATTAACAACTGGTAATGGTGTGAGGTTTATTATTAACAACTGGTAATGGTGTGAGGTTTATTATTAACAACTGGTAATGGTGTGAGGTTTATTATTAACAACTGGTAATGGTGTGAGGTTTATTATTAACAACTGGTAATGGTGTGAGGTTTATTATTAACAACTGGTAATGGTGTGAGGTTTATTATTAACAACTGGTAATGGTGTGAGGTTTATTATTAACAACTGGTAATGGTGTGAGGTTTATTATTAACAACTGGGGAGAAAACATGTCATAATAAACAAAAGTGTAAAGATATTAAATAGAAATACTGACAATATAGATAGTAAATAGTATAGGAAACATGAATCAATGTACTGAATGACCATGTATAGTTCCTGCTATTACAAACTAAGTGTGTATGACGTCATTATTCCAAAGGTTCGTAGAAATTATAAACACCTATTGTCATAAAGACGTCATAAAACACCTATCTCATTAAATATTGAAATCTATACGTTTAAGTTAAAAAAAACCTCTTTATAATCGTAAACCTGAAGCAGTTGATACAAGGTTACCTCGCATAAATTAGCATAAATAGAGGTCATGAATTCACTCATGTTAACTTGTCACTAAAGAGTTCAAACTGAACAAAACCAGTCAGGTCATACACTACAGATCAACATTAAGGGTGTCCTAAAGGAAAGTTCTTCTTCCTTTGTTTTTCTTCATAATAACATAAATTTCAAACTTCAACCCACCAATTCTTAGTTAAATATTAGAAAGAAAAAATGACTTACAGTATTACACTCTGCTATATTACCACCTCGCTGTGTTAAATGTAATTGTATATCCTCTACTTGTAATATATTTTTACCACTATTATACGTATTATTGAATCTATTTCTACGTGAAGGTCCACGATGTAAACAATAGTCTGGTCCACTGATCTGACTCACGCTTAAACCACGCCTGAAAAAAATCAGAAAATAAAATTAATATTTCATCATGTGAGAGGAAAAACGTCTATGATAGACAAGATTATGACAATGGTAAATCAAAATTGGAATTCAATAATCCTGTTGGTCAGCTCAAATAAAATGAAGTGGTGTTTCATTTCCTTCTGCTCTGTATTGGTAGTAGGTTATAATGACGGTGGCAAAGATACAAATAATCATAGTAAAAAATATTATAACAACAAAAATCAATTTCTCTCCAAAAATTTAAATCTTACTTCAACATGCGACATCTATGTTCTTGTAATCTGATGGCCGCGGAGTCAAGATCTCGTACATCTTTATGACTCCACAATCTCTCGGCAGTAGCAGACGCCCTGGGCCATAGCGTCGTCATGTAATTCTCGTTGTCAACGTACTCCGACCATAAACAAGCTTCACCTCCTAGAATCTTCTTCTCATCTACTGTCATACCTGAAATTCAATAATAGTTGTCTGTAGTCAATTAATGGAGTTATTTCCCTTCAATTATAGAAATCACATCTTGTTGAGAAATCGTTAAAATGTAGTTAGAAGCACCAAATGAACAGCTGGATATTTTTTTAATGTCAAATGTTCGTCCCTCCAACCTGTACAACAGCATCGGGGAAACCTGTTAGGCTGAAGTTACTGCTAAAGGTTAAGACACACCTCTAAAATTAATATTTAAATATTAGCTTATAGCTTCTCAAGTCATCTCAGCTTCCTTGTAAATAATTGATTAGAATTATAATTAGACACTAATTAATTATTTTCTTACCATAACTATTATCAGCTGGATCACATTGATAATATTTTGGCCATTTTGTTCCGTATTCTACATGATCTAGGTACCAACATGTTGAGTAGAGAACGTTATAGCCTAGATTTATAGCTCGGTTGATATCCATCACATCTCCCATCCAGATCTGGATTAACGTATCATTTGGAAGCTGTAAAAATAAAGAAATAGAGAAATAAAATAAGCTACGCCAGTGGGGGTACAGACAGGGCATCTGCCTCCGTAGATAAATAGTTTATCCCAAAATGTACCCCCATTTGCTTCCATACAAATTAAAAAATTTTGGGTGAACCCTCTCAGATGCTCCATGGTAGGTTTGTAACCAGGGCGCTCTCGTAGAGCTGTCAGTTTTGGAATAGTTGTTTCCCCATTTAGTCAGTCTGCTCTCTATTTGTACCCCCAGTCTGCTCTCTATTTGTACCCCCAGTCTGCCCTCTATTTGTACCCCCAGTCTCAGAATGTTGGCGATACCATTGAGGACCACATCCTTTTTATAAAAAAATTTACCTGTAGATCGTTGTTCATGACTTCCTGCCACATGACAAACTTGACACCATCTTTACGTTTTTTACCGATACTACGTAAATCTTTCATCAATCTGAAATTATATATTACTCATAATTCATACTTGGAAAGATTTTTACATTTTACAAAATATCACAAGAAATACCAATTTCAAGGTCAACCTTCTATCTCAAATGAAAATATCTAATTTTGGACCCGTTGTGATACCATATCTTGAGAGATGTCAATGGTACCCACTGCCCAGTGGCTGAGCCAAGGGGGGAGAGGGGGCAGCCTCAAAAGCAAGTTCTTCTGGCAATTTCAGATATCTCCAGCCCCTAGACTATTTCAAGCTATGTTTAAAATGTTTGACAGTAAACATAAAAAAATGATGCTTGTAGTAAATCATTTACCTGTTTTCATAATATTCATAGACTTTTCTGACATCAAATCCCGAATTATAATACTGATAGTTATTAGCGTTGTTATAATTATTATTATTATTATTATTGTTGCGAGCCTGTCGTTGTTTTTCACTCGCTTTCTTTGATAAATCTATCCCAAAATTTGTCACGTCTGGGTTTGATGACCTGAAAGGACAGATTAAAAATATTGTCACATGGACATCAATATCACATTTATTCAACTGAGTTTAAATTGAATTTTATTCTACGAATAAATTGATTGAATATTGAACCTGATAGGATCTCATACATGATCATAGTTTTCTGTCTGTAATGAAGCGTGTTAATATAGATATCTACACTTGTAAATATATCAAGAATTCATAAAATAAGTCAAGTTTCCTTGAATATATAACATGTTTACAGTTGTACTTGGTATTATACTTGGGTTCACCAATTCTCATGTTTGAAGGCAAAGGGTTTAGGCTCACCCTTCCAGTTGGATACAAATATTGAAGATATCAAAAACTGTTCTTACCAGCATTGTAACGGTACCTCGTCTCCACCGAGATGTATATACGTATCTTGAAACACTGTTAATATCTCATCAAACAGATTCTTTAAAAACGTATATGTCGCATTCTTGGAGGGGTCTATTGGTCCAAAATATCCTTTAACTGGGTTACTACCCTGATAGCATTGTGTTAATAACTCCGGCTGACTCAGACCCCACGAGTACGTATGACCTGGAAAAAAAAGAGGGATGTCAATAAGTTTAACCAAGGACCAGCTGATAGACAGTATCCTTGAGAAAAAGTTGTCCTTGTAAAATATTGATTTTTCTCTCCAATATACCAGAGGTTTGGTCAAGGATCAGCTGGTAGAAATGATTTGGTATCAATGTAAAATATGTTTCTTTCTTTGAACATCATTACAAAGATATAGGTCAAGGACTGACCAGCCAATAAAGATCCCCTGGGTCCAAGGATTTACCAAAGTCTTACCTGGAGAGTCAAACTCTGGCATAATTCTGACACCACGGAATCTGGCATAATGTATAATCTCTGTGATATCTTCTAGACTGTACACAAACTCAGGATGGAATGCGCCCTGGAAATATAATACTTGTAGATTAGTTTCATTGTATAAGACTCACCTATTGTTTGGCAAGCCCTTTTAACAGTAAATAACTTTGTACTATTAACGCAAATAGGGTTACTGTTATTAAAAGGTTGTACAGCAATAACAGCAAGCAAATATTACATAGATAAGGTTCATTGTATAAAGCACACCCACTGCTTGACAAGCCCCTTTTTAGGTTAAAAAAAATTGTACAATACAATACAATGTGTATATATATTAATAGGTATTAAAAGTCAAGTTTTAAGGAGCTTATAGCAGACTAATTCAACACAATTTCTTACTAACTTTAAAAATTGCTTTTTCCTTCAGAGCTTTGGAATCGTGGCATATTTCGTGATTACAACCAGAAAAAGGTGGCTGGTTCTAATGTTGATCGGCAAATGTAAACCTGGTGTCCTAGGCAATATAAATCATAAAGAAACCACCTACCTTTTTACTGAGATCAGGGTAAACTTTACTCTTGTATGGGAAAGATTGATCATCTACTATGTGCCAGTGCATTACATTCATTTTATTAGCTTCCATAGCATCCTGTAATAATAAATATTTAAATATTATTCCTCAATATATAAATATATATCCTATTCAATAACTGAAAGGGACTGGGCGACAGTACCAGTAGTCTTTGTCTTCCAGTCCTGTGATAATAAATATCAATATAGAATTTAACAATTAATTTCAGGAAGCTTAGTTTATCTGATAAATATTCTTAATAAGAAGCTCAGTCATTCTTTCTGCCGAGATGTTCTGTGTTCTTTTACTAAGATTATCCAGAACACAACAGAACACAACAGAAGAAAACAGAACACAACAGAAGAAAACAGAACACAACAGAAGAAAACAGTCTCTATCTATGCTGTAAGCTAGATAATAATAAAACCTATATTTGTAATGTTTTACTTGACAACAATTTGCTGAATTTTTGATCAAAAGCAATTTTTTTATTCTTCATTATAAAATGTATAAATCAGAACAATTTGTGTGCTAAATTATAATTTAAATTGCAGCGTTGACTTATGGATTGAGATTGAAAGAAAACTTACGATAATATCAAAGATGACCTCTTTAAACAGGAAATGACGTGACGTATCAACTAGAATACCGCGATGTTGAAATCTCGGATAATCACTAATTACCGTTTCTTTAACATAAAGCTGAAAATACATAAAATATTTCAAAATTCATTCACTTTCTTTATCATTAATATATCACTGTTTAACTTGGGACATCATATTTTAATACATATCTCTTCTTGATATAAACCTCTTGAACTCATATTGGCAGTAATTCCTGCTAATCACACTTGTACCTTCTTTTATCATGAATCTTTACTTTGTGACCTGGGCCAGTGTTTATGAGATTATGTTCTCATCACCATCAAACACTATATAATCTTAGTTTGTGACCTAAGCCAGTGCTTTTATGAGACTGTTTTAATCATCATCTAACACTGATATCTTTACTATGTGACCTGGGCCAGTGTTTATATGAAATTTTTATCTTACACCACCCAATCTCAATACCTTTGTTTTTTTTTTCAACCCTGTTCACCCTGTCAGTGATGCAGTATGGAGGGGCTGGCACCCCAATAAAAACCTGTCTGCACTGTGACAATGCTAAACTTTGATTATTACAACTTACCCGATCATCTTGTCCTTTCCAAACAATCTGGCTGAAAGTTTCGAGACCTCGTAAAGCTCCCCACACCTCGTTAGCCCAGATTAATACTCGGTTCTTCTTCACAAATAAATCATCTGTAATATATCAAACAGAATATCCTTTAAACATACATGTCAAAATCACGAAACAAAAGAATTCTGGTTTACAGTAAAATGGGCAATGCCGTCAACAGATTTTAAAATGAGTGTCTGGTATATGTAGTGTCTGATATATGTAGTGTATGTAGTGTCTGATATATGAAGTGTCTGGTGTATGAAGTGTCTGGTATATGAAGTGTCTGGTGTATGAAGTGTCTGGTGTATGAAGTGTCTGGTGTATGTAGTGTCTGGTGTATGTAGTGTCTGGTGTATGAAGTGTCTGGTATATGAAGTGTCTGGTGTATGAAGTGTCTGGTGTATGTAGTGTCTGGTATATGAAGTGTCTGATATATGAAGTGTCTGGTATATGTAGTGTCTGGTGTATGAAGTGTCTGGTGTATGTAGTGTCTGGTGTATGAAGTGTCTGGTGTATGAAGTGTCTGGTATATGAAGTGTCTGGTATATGTAGTGTCTGGTATATGAAGTGTCTGGTATATGAAGTGTCTGGTATATGTAGTGTCTGGTGTATGAAGTGTCTGGTGTATGTAGTGTCTGGTGTATGTAGTGTCTGGTGTATGAAGTGTCTGGTGTATGTAGTGTCTGGTGTATGAAGTGTCTGGTATATGTAGTGTCTGATATATGTAGTGTCTGATATATGTAGTGTCTGGTGTATGAAGTGTCTGGTATATGTAGTGTCTGGTGTATGTAGTGTCTGGTGTATGAAGTGTCTGGTGTATGAAGTGTCTGGTATATGTAGTGTCTGGTGTATGAAGTGTCTGGTATATGTAGTGTCTGGTGTATGAAGTGTCTGGTGTATGAAGTGTCTGGCGTATGTAGTGTCTGGTGTATGAAGTGTCTGGTGTATGAAGTGTCTGGTATATGTAGTGTCTGGTATATGTAGTGTCTGGTATATGAAGTGTCTGATATATGAAGTGTCTGGTGTATGAAGTGTCTGGTATATGTAGTGTCTGGTATATGTAGTGTCTGGTATATGAAGTGTCTGGTGTATGAAGTGTCTGGTGTATGAAGTGTCTGGTGTATGAAGTGTCTGGTGTATGAAGTGTCTGGTATATGTAGTGTCTGGTATATGTAGTGTCTGGTACAGAATTATTGTTTCAGTCAGTAGAAAACAGTAGAAGCGAATCATGTCCAGATCTGTATGAAGTGCGTTCACGTTCTACTATATTGATAATCCCCCATCATACATCGCACATCGTCTATTTGAAATTGAATGTAAACTTCTTATACCCTCTAGGATGGCTGTAATTCACTTTAAATGATTGAGAATTAAGAATTAATTGTTAATTATGGTGAATACCAGTCTGGGGAATATTTTATGATGTTGGCACATCTGGTATTGGGATTCAGACAATTTATTCTATTATTGAAAGCCATTTACAAAGATTTTATAAAATTCTAGAGGATTAGAGACAGCTTTGTATCTTAATTATTTTGTATGGTAATTTTGTTTTATTTTATTGTAATTTAGCATGTCTTCACCATTAATAAGAAAGAATGTTGTTCTGAATTGAACGAGTCTTATAGATATTTTCATCAGAAAACAAGGTAAAGCTCCTCAAAAATTCAATTGTCATAATTTTTCTAGAAAACATGTTTAAAACAATGTTTCCTTAGAAAAAAAATTCTGTAGATTTTGTCCTTATTTTCCTGAATTTGACTCAAAAATGGAGACTACTGGTTTGTGCAAAATGTGAGTGCTTTTCACTTTAGTATTTTTGTAGTTCCTAACTAAATCAGGATAAAAATATCGATAGAATTATATTCTACTAGTGATAAATTATACATTGCAGGTGGTTTTAGAAGTGTTATGTTCACAACACCTGGAGGCTTCATAACTTAATCTAACAATTACTACTAATTCTGATCATGTTAAATATCATCCTTTACACCCTCTAGGCAATTTTGATTATAAAATTACTTTTTGATTTATACCATCTTTTCATGTTAAGTTTGGGATCAATAAAAACTTCATATCAAGCAAAACAATTCCAGTAACCAAAAATCTCTCTCAAAGCATGACAAAATTGAGTTTTTTGTAAAGAGTTCGAAATTGTCTATTAGTACAGTGAAATTAAAAAAAGATTTAGTTTTAAAAATATTTAACAACATTCCATGAAAGAAGAACAGGAAAGTTCAATGATGTTCAATCAGGAAGGAAGAGAGAAATTTAAGAAAGTTGATAATATCAGGAAACCATCCACTTGATACTTCTCATCTCCCAGAATTTTAATTTTTAAGCTAGTACTAACTTGTCTTATACTTTGACTGCAATAGCCACCTTTCTTGTTTCACAGAACTTCATGAAAGATAGCAATTTGATTGGATTATATGCAAACAAACAGCCAATCAGATGCCTTGACACAGAAAGTCTGTAAACAATAAGCCAAAAAGTTTACAGTCTTTCTTACAAGACAAGGCCTCTGATTGGCTGGCATACAATCCAATCAAATCACTTCATTTTTTGATACAAGAAAGGTTGCAGTCAAGGTATAAGTACAAAGTTCATAATTGCATGAAATTGTGAAGATGTGATACAAGAAAGTGGCCATTGCAGTCAAGGTAAATACGAAGTTTGCAATAGCTAGACATTGTGAAGATGAAGTTTGTTATAGCTAGACATTGTGAAGATGAAGTTTGCAATAGCTAGACATTGTGAAGATGAAGTTTGCAATAGCTAGACATTGTGAAGATGAAGTTTGTAATAGCTAGACATTGTGAAGATGAAGTATGTAATAGCTTGACATTGTGAAGATGAAGTATGTAATAGCTTGACATTGTGAAGATGTAGTTGGTAATAGCTTGACATTGTGAAGATGAAGTATGTAATAGCTTGACATTGTGAAGATGAAGTTTGTAATAACTAGACATTGTGAAGATGAAGTTTGTAATAGCTAGACATTGTGAAGATGAAGTTTGTAATAGCTTGACATTGTGAAGATGTAGTTTGTAATTGCTAGACATTGTAAAGATGAAGTTTGTAATAGCTTGACATTGTTAAGATGTAGTATGTAATAGCTCTACATTGTGAAGATGAAGTATGTAATAGCTTGACATTGTGAAGATGAAGTATGTAATAGCTTGACATTGTGAAGATGTAGTTGGTAATAGCTTGACATTGTGAAGATGAAGTATGTAATAGCTTGACATTGTGAAGATGAAGTTTGTAATAACTTGACATTGTGAAGATGAAGTTTGTAATAGCTAGACATTGTTAAGATGAAGTTTGTAATAGCTTGACATTGTGAAGATGTAGTTGGTAATAGCTTGACATTGTGAAGATGAAGTTGGTAATAGCTTGACATTGTGAAGATGAAGTTTGTAATAGCTTGACATTGTGAAGATGAAGTTGGTAATAGCTTGACATTGTGAAGATGAAGTTTGTAATAGCTTGGCATTGTGAAGATGAAGTATGTAATAGCTTGACATTGTGAAGATGAAGTTTGTAATAGCTTGACATAGTGAAGATGAAGTTTGTAATAGCTAGACATTGTGAAGATGAAGTTTGTAATAGCTAGACATTGTGAAGATGAAGTATGTAATAGCTTGACATTGTGAAGATGAAGTTTGTAATAGCTAGACATTGTGAAGATGAAGTTTGTAATAGCTTGACATTGTGAAGATGAAGTTTGTAATAGTTTGACACTGTGAAGATGATGTTTGTAATAGCTTGACATTGTGAAGATGAAGTTTGTAATAGCTTGACATTGTGAAGATGAAGTTTGTAATAGCTTGATATTGTGAAGATGAAGTTTGTAATAGCTTGACATTGTGAAGATGATTGCCAACAGCATTTCAAAGTTTTAGAAACAAAATCCATCAAAAAGAACATCTTTTATGTCTTATTTCTCAAGTTATCCACTGTGTTCTGAGAATATTTATTATAAACAATATGTTTTTGTATCTATAACTGTCTGTTGACAAACCAACACATCAAACGTGGTTCATACAAAAAACATTTGTACCTTACACCCTTCAATTCCTTTTATCCTTGTTGATTTTATTTATTAGATTGGCCTTGCTTTTTTCTTTTCTTCTTACTTTATTTTGATCAAAGATTCTTAAAAGAAGAGAATACTAGACTGAAGAATTTAAAGTGTTTTAATTTTGTATCTTTTGGTTTTAACTTTTAAAAATTGTCTGATTTTCGAAAGTCTTTCAAAACATCATCATTCATCCATACTTCTGTAAGTTTAAAATCATTTTAAGTTAACTTTTTGTTAATAAAGTGTGAAAAAATCAGCAGAAATTCAATTTTCTATTACATTAGCAGGTCTTTGATCTCATGTTTACATTATTTATTACATAAGCCTATGTTTTTATTACATTTTTTTATCATTTACATCAAAGATATGTAACATGTACCATATGCCTGCTTTGATATCTGTAATATTGTACATAAATCTGATTTATTGGCTGTTAGTATTATTTTAACTAGGACTGTTGAATTATCGGTATTTACCAGTCATGTCTGATTAGAGCTCCAAAATGTCTGATGGCAATTTTTATCAGGACATTTCCTATGCAAATGTGTATAATTTTCTGGATTTTTCATGAATTCTCGATATAAAGTTGTACAAAGTCTTCATTTACACGTCAAAATATCCGGTTGTGAATTTCTAAAATCAACAGCTCAAATCACATTGAAATTTGGTAACTAGTTCTAATAATAGTCTAATTAGCATAATAAACTAAAAACTAAACTGCTTAATGGACCTCAAATCAAAATATACGGCTAGTATGACGTTTGATGTCTTGTATCTTTCAATAGATGCTTAAATATACTGTAAATTGATTCTTGTGATTTACATAGGCGTTTTTAAGAACTTCTTCACTCTTAATATGGTTCTCCTGCACAAAGTAAACAAACATAACAACTCTCTGAATTTAAATAAAACAAATTTAAAAACAGATTTATGTAGTAAAGGAAGACGAGTGCCCTCGAATTAAAGTCAAGTAACTGACTTCTCCCTACGTCAATAAATTTAACAAGTTTCTGGAATATAAATCAGTAGAAGTTAAAATGAATTTAAAAGTTAAAACAACATATATGTTTAGAAAGAGGGACAGTAAAGTGGCCTTAAATTAGCCAGACAAATTAAAAACATATCATCTAAGATGTAGGCTTCCAGTAAATATTTGAATTTCTTCGTGATTCAAAACATAATATTCTGACATTATCCGTGTCACGTGTCTGAAAAATTCTTCCTAGAGCGAACTTATAACATCAGACAATCACATCTAAAACGCCTAGCTTTAGTCAGACATATCGACTGAAAAAGGGCCAAATCAACAGTGTAGAGCTCTTGTCAGACATGACTGGTAAATACACTCAAATCAACAGTCTACAGCTCTAGTCACAGTCAGAGATGACTGGATAGTACATCTACAGCCATTATCATTATGTAAATCAATAAAATTAGTACAGTAAAAAGTTAGATCTAGAAGAAGATGAAATGATGTATGGATGTCTAGTATAATGGTGTTATAGCCCCCATCACAGTTTTTATAACATTGAATTTTATATTATTTTTCTATTATAATTTATTTCTGCTTTTGATGTTGCATTTCATTTCTTCTTTTTTTGCTTTCAATAACTTTTCGTCATTTTCCATTACAAAACCATGATTGATTACTCTGGGGCAAAAACATTCTCATCCATCACGGAGAAGGTCATGTGACACAGAAACATGTCGTTACAACTGACAGTGACCTTGTCACATGACCTTAATACTCACAACAATGTAAGACAATGTTTTAATTACTAACAGTAATCTTGTTTTAAACAGTACACAAAGTTCATAGCTTCATAGAATATACTTACAGAAATAGTCTAATAAACTTGTAAAACATAGAATTCATACCTTCAACAATGAAACAGTTTTAAATATCAGAATAGACTTGCCAAAATCTTACGCTAAGATCATTTCGAGAATACATGGCCACGTTGAAATCTGAACAGTATTATCTCAACCTAAGAAAGGATTAAACACAGAACGATCAGGATAGCCGATAACTAACATAAAACTGGGTTGAAAAACTCAAAGTATTATCCAAACGTCTGGAAGGATTTAAGCCTAGATCATCAGGTTAGCGAGAAGACACAGATCGTAATTGGAGCAAATGAATACAATATTAAACAATAATTACAGGAAAGAGTTCCGTATTTAATTTTTATTTTATCACAAGTTGTCAGCGTGATTTATTTCTCCCCGACAGAAATCTGTCAGTTTTAGAAAATTTACGCGATATGTCGCCATTATACCTCATCTTGGTTATAATCTTCATTTTTTTTAGGTTGTTTATCGTTTCAATTTTAAATAATTTCATAAAATTCATAAGTTCACCCTGGGGATAAAAATTTTGAAGCCCACAGACAAATATTTTTCTTAAAATTCACCCGATTTCAATCTTGTTTATCAATTCATTTCTTTCATAAAATTTGGTTTTTTTCAGGGACAGTGATAGCGTTGTTTTACACCATTCCAATTTTCAGTCAGACATCTGCCGTCCTTGCAATTCCACTAAAACAATGCATTTTGTCATGTAGACCCTTAGATATTTTTTTGACCTTTTGCAATAGTGACGTTGTATACAGCTAGGAATCACAGACATTTGACTTAAAATTTGAATGCTGCCAATTAAAGCTATAAATTCCCTCAACAAATATCAACGTTTACAACCCGTCTATCCCTTTACTAACTAATAACATGGTCAAACTATTTCTTTTCATTAGTCAAATGTCATCTAGTACCAAGAAATACTAAATCTACGTCAAAAATCTCCCTGAACACTTGATCAAGTTGAATATCATGACTCAGAAAGAAGACTGGAACAATTCATTAAGTTAAAGAACAGAGTTGAAACAATGACAAGACAATTCTTCTTTTTATAACAAATATTCTGAACGTCATACATCATAGTTTTCTTTACATCATTCATTATATTCATCATGTTCATTTTAAATCAATACAAATAATAACCACAGTCTATATTTCACATCTTCACAAAGTCAAATCATTTTCGTGGAATGCAGCGCTATGATAGGATTGTAGGCCAGCGAATATAGCCAATCAGACCATTCGACAGAAATGCTTTAGATTGAAAGGCTTTGTGTTCACAGACTATCTTTCGAGGCCTCTGATTGGCTGTATTCACTAGCATACAAGCCAATCAAATGGCTTCATTTATAAACTTACATGATAGAAGGATAGTGACTATATTTGTAATATACAACATGTGTTATAGATTAATTTGATATTGTGAAGATGGTATTTCTATAGCAATTACGATCATGACGCTATTTTTCAAAATCACCATTGAATAATTTATGAAAAGATAGGATAGGAATTTCTGGGTTCCAAGCCTATGTTTTTGTATTCTTTTTGATACAAGTGAAGCAATTTGAAACAAGTAATATAAAATTCCAATATTTTTCTGTTTTCGTCCTAGAAGAAGGCCTATTATTAATAACCTCTCGATGATGTAATCAAATCGATAACTCCACAAAGCAGACGCTCTTTCTATTTTATCTCACAAATCAAGATTCTCTCACTAAATCGTAAAATTTCTCGTTATTTGATGAAATACATGCGTTTTGGGAGAAAAGAAAATCAATAGTCAACCAATTTCCATGCAGTGGAAAGAATTGAAAGGCCAAGGTCGTTGCTAAGTGTTTTATCTGCAGTACTTAATTTGTTACTAATTTTATCCACTGTGAACTCTTCACTCAGAAATTTCCGCTACATTTTAAATACTGTAACTAATAAAATTATAAAGATTACTGTACTTATTCTCACGAATTGTGTTCCGTTTAAAAATTGTTCAAAACATTAAAAAATGTTCACGCTGTAGAGAGAGTTTTATTCAGCTTTAGTTATATTATTAAACTTATCCAGTCTCAATCAAGAAATTCATTAAACGTTATTATGCTGATGCTGTGAGAGGGTTTGAAACATCAGTCTATGTTTTCATAGAAAGAATAAGAGTAAAGTAAATATATAAAAAGTCACCCGGGTGCTGAAACCTGTTTTTAGGAACTATAGTGTTAGTTTTATCTATATTATAACAAACACTTATTGATTCATTCATTGTTCAGATTACAATATATATAATACAAGTCAATTACCTAATGTCTTCACTTTCTTACAGCACATAATATTTTAAATTCAACTTAGGTAATTTCAGACTAAACAAAAGGCCTACATTTAAAAATGAAATGAATGGTGTTTTCCGTCCTACTTTTCTGCACCATGTGGGCTAATAAAGACGGGAAAAACAGTTTCTAAGATAAGTCTTTATCAATTAGCTAATGATTTTACATTATCTACTTATAGCCTAATAATAATTAAACCTTACCTTGAGTAATTTCGGATAAAATCCAAAAAGCGGCTTATTACATCTTAATCCAAGTCTTTGTCTATTAGCTAATGAATTCTATTTCTAAATGATTAAAACTTAGTAACATTAATGGATATTTTTATATATTTCAGACCAGACTGGTCAAGAATCAAGAACTCTGCTTATACCAACTATAACCTTATTTATTCTACTTTTAATTAAAAATTAAACTTATTTGTAATTTATCATAGCACAATTTCAGACAAAACTGGTAAATAAGCCTTATCAAAAATCCTTATTACTGTAGTAATAAATAAAATTCTGATGCCATGGCAAGTGCTTTTGAGATTAGCTCAGTGTCCGCTTTCAACCACTCGCAAACCATGATCTTAAAGCGTTTGATTAATTGGTATGATGGTTTGGATTTTCCGCACCCAATCAACTAACTTCAGTAATTCTATCAAAGCTTATTATAAAAAAAAAATCAATCATGACTCAAATCTAATCTTTAACCTGAAATTCTAGTAGAAATATAGAACTACAGGCTGTTTCTATTGAACATGAAGCCATTGATATAACTCAATATATTATAGAAAAATAGAATTTAAAAGGTTATCCTTGTCTAACTCTTGTCAGGTTTAACAGCTTTTTTTTATTTTATTATTTTAATGATTGAATAGGTGATTGGTTGAATGAGAGAATTACTTACTGAATGAATGAAAGATTGAATAAATGAATGATTGAATGATAAATGAATAAATAAAGGATGTATTCAGAAGGGCCTATTAGTTGGTTGACTTCATGAAAGACTGAATAAATAAATGTATGAATAAATGTAAGAATGAATTAATGAATGAAAGAAGAATAGATGAAAGAATGAATGATTGGTTGATTGGTTGAATGAATGGAGCAAATAAATGAATGAATGGCCCAATGGATAAATGAATAAATAAATGAATGAAAGAAGAAGAGATGAAAGAATGAATGATTGGTTGAATTGATGGAGTAAATAAATGAATGAATAAATTTTATACTTACAAGATTCATCGGAATGAAGACCAGGATATTTGGAACATGGTTTCCGAACTTTTAATTCCATGACAGTAATCACAGGAGCGTTAGTGAACTTTGGACTGTCATATTTGGATGCTGGATCCTCAAGAACTGTTCCGTCTGCATGCTGGAGATTATCGTACATATCTTCTACAACATCGTTTAACACGTGGTCTCGATAACGCTCCGCAGCCGATTCTAGAATATCACAACTTTTATCCACAATTTTAAACGTAAACTCACTTGCCGATATGCGATACACCTTTTTAGATTTTTTAACATAATATTGGGGTAAAGGCCAGGGTTCCCCAGTCGAAGCGTGTGGGGCACGTCTCACTTTCTGTTCTGCAGCTCCATAATCATTAAACGAAATCGCAAAGTCACTCCAATCCCAGTTTAATTTCATTCCACCAATTTCACGTTGACTTTTCTTATTTTGAAAATTCTGTTGCTGCTGAAAGTTATTATTATTATTATTATTGTTGACGGGATTATTAAATTGTACTACATTGTTGTCATTGTTATTACCTACGTTTAACACGGGAGCAGCTTGTTGATTGTTCACATTTCTTATCACTCCATTATTAAAACTCTGATCAACTTTTGGTTGTTGACCTTGAACCACCGCCTGACCTTGACCTTGATTGGAAATAATATTTTGGTTGTTATCTCCCCTGTGTACTACGTCGTTCACTGGACGTATAACAGCCGCGTTGCCGTTTTCAGATGGAATGATCTTGGCCTTGACAGCTGGTTTTATATTCTGGTTGTTATTTGAGTCTGGAACTGAAATAAAGGAAAATGACAATCACAAAGACAATATAATATTAATCAGATTTCACAGGTCTGGTCTGGTCTGACATTTATAACTTTCATTTACACTATTCTAATATTCTATTTTCACTGAAACACATGTTTAAAATACCATTTGGCTTGAAAGGGATGCAAAGCAGATCAGGCCTACTCTTTTTGAAACACCTGATGGTACTTCTCTTTGGAGGAGGGCACAACTATAATATTTTTATTCTTGATTTCGCCATGCTTTGGACGAGATTTTGATTAACGGAATTATTTTACTTGTATTATTCATACAATTAAATCTGTGTATGATATTACAAAAATGGCAGAAGCTATTTCCCAATCCTTTACATATTGTTTGTAATAAAAATCAACGCCTACTTTTCTATGGAAAATGACAGATGAAGACCAGAATCTGAATAACTAAAGCTATAAACATCATCAATACATTTATAAAGGCTAAAAATTTCTTTTGAATCTCTGAAAACAACAACTTCTGAAGCAGGAATTTTTTCAACAATGTCCAAGAGTTTTCGAAGAACTCATGAGTAATGAGTGTTGCAAGAGACCGTACTAAAGTTTCAATTTCTCCTCAATATACTTACCATTGTACCGTTCCTGTGATAGAGTACCCAATATTAAACCAATCAGGATCACCCCAACTACCTGCCTTGTTATCGTCATGGTTACAACCTGAAAATATTCAATTAAAAATTATTAACAATTCCCATACTGAGTGGCACACGGCAAATTGAGAAAAATATTTATTAAAATCAAGTTTTCATAATAAATTTTTCCACTAGGCACCAGTAGAACCTGTTTTAAACTATTTTATATAAATATATTATTATAACCAGTTTGTGTTAGTAAATAAAATAATGAGAATTACAAGAAATTAATCAAAATAATACCACAAATGTCAGAATTGGTCGAGCAGTCCCTCGGTCATGTAAGAAATATATCAACGTCCAATAAAAATGGTCAACTATGTCCGGGTCAACTGTCCCCTTAATTTGGTCAACTCTAATACATCATACTACTAAGAGTTAAAAAACATATCCAATAACTAAAACTGACAATGTGGTTTAGGTTGCTACGAAGATTTAAGGCTGGAATTCATATTTACAGTAAGATAATGATTTCCTAATGATCCTAGAACATGACTGATACAATACAATTAAATAACAAAAATCTGTCTTCAGAAAGTTGGTTATACTTTTATTCAAATAAATAGTCAACAATTGATAATTTACATTCTATATCTATAATACCCTTTTAACGATGAACCTTTTATGAAGCCAAACATGACTGGCACAATACAGGCAAATCAAAAACCTTTTTCTTAAGAAAGTTGGTCATAAATTCATTCAAACTCAAAAATGATCATTTACATTCAATAAAATTTATATCTATAATTCTCTTTTAATGAGAACCCTATTATCAAGTCAGACCTGACTGGCACAATAACATCAAATCAAAAACTCTGATGAACTCATATTTCCATTCAACAGTACGCATAATTGATAATTTACGTTGATATATATAAGGCCCTTTTAAAGATGACCCTTCATATTTTCAATATATTGAACAGAATTGATAATTTACCTTCTGTGATGATATCTCTCATGCCCTTTTAAAGATAAGCCTATTATCAAGTTAATAGTTGTAATAAGTAGATGATTATTACACTCTGTCTGAATTTATAATATATATATATTGAGTATCGCTATGTGACCTATGAACATCAACTATTTTACACGCAATAGAATTACGCCAGTTTATTCACATTGTTTATGTATTATTAAGTGCAGGAAAACCACACCACATATTAGAACAATTTATATAAACCACACTTGACTTCGTAATAAAACTTAATTTTAGATCACAAAATCCGAGCCACTCAATTTATATCACAATTTATATTAGATTATATTATTTTAGATTATAAAAATAAATTCAGGAAACCAGTCACATCAGGAACCTGTTTCTTAAAATATCGTAGATTAACATATACCAATTAACGATATAACGTCAAAAATAGCGTTTTTCTTCACTTAAATACAAGTTTGATCATACAGAGTCCAGGGACATAAATATAAATAACAATCAAACTGGTTACTGATTTCATTACTGGAATGTTTTAGCAAGTAAAATACAGTATCATTATAAATATAATACGGAGGTGTGTATATTACACATCCCTTCTTTACCTCAATAAAACTTGTATAAATTTGATTAATGTATTCTAAAAGTTATCAAATTAAAGATAAGATGAAAACTAAATGTTTTAATAGATGTTTTATATGAAGACGTTAAGCAGTATCCTGACGTGAAACTCTCCAACAATCTTCAATCTGAATTTAAAGAGAAGTTTAAAACCTTAAGGACCATCAATGAAGAAAATCAAGGGGGCACTAAGAATATTTTAATATTGTTTCTCCATAAATTTCCTTTAAAACAAACATTCATTTACATACAGTAATTGTTCGGAGAAATGTCCATCTTATTTTACAGTGAAAACACTCCAATCTGACAGCTTTCCAAACTGACGGAAAATGATGGATAAGTAGGCTACATATTCTCGAAACCATGTCCTAGAATCAATGTTAGAAGATAAGAACCTAGGACATTCTAGAATAAATGTTAGGAGATAAGAACCTAGGATATCCTAGAATCAATGTTAGAAGATAGGAACCTAGGATATCCTAGAATCAATGTTAGAAGATAAGAACCTAGGATATCCTAGAAACAATGTTAGAAGATAAGAACTTAGGACATCCTAGAAACAATGTTAGAAGATAAGAACCTAGGACATCCTAGAATCAATGTTAGAAGATAAGAACCTAGGATATCCTAGAATCAATGTTAGAAGATAAGAACCTAGGACATCCTAGAATCAATGTTAGAAGATAAGAACCTAGGATATCCTAGAATCAATGTTAGAAGATAAGAACCTAGGATATCCGAGAATCAATGTTAGAAGATAAGAACCTAGGACATTCTAGTGCTAAGATCATTTCGAGAATATGTAGCCAGGGTTACCTCTTAATAATAACAGAAAATTCTGTGTTTAAATGGTTAACAGTAGCTAATTTAGTCCTTCTAAGCAAGGGAGAATTTTCAGCCAAAATCACACCATAATCACAACTAATTTAAAAAAACTAGTTGTCATGGGTTCAAATCCCTTAATGTAGGCGCTCTATCTTGATCGACCCCTTGAATTTTTTGTTACCACACAACTAGACTAGTTATAGCTCACCAAGATATTTCTAATTCTTACCAAGAACCTTTTCAATTCTAAAACAAGACTCTTTCAAAACTTGTGAATCTTTCAAAGACCCTCTCATAAAGATCTTTTTGATAATAACAGAACCTTCAATAGCTTGTCATATATAATTAAAGAAATAGTATTGACATTAAAATACTTTTACATTTAGTCCTTTAAATTAGGTCAAGGGTACTTGAAAAAAATACATTGTTTAAATGTCAACAAGCATTGAAACCCAAAATAATTCTCTCCCCACTGTTAAAATAGTACTCAATATATCAATTGTAGAGTGATATAGAAATATCACTGTTAAAATAGTACTCAATACATCAATTATAGAGTGATATAGAAATATCACTGTTAAAATAGTGCTCAATACATCAATTATAGAGGGACATAGAAATACCACTGTTAAAATAGTACTCAATATATCAATTGTAGAGTGATATAGAAATACCACTGTTAAAATAGTTCTCAATATATCAATTGTAGAGTTATATAGAAATATCACTGTTAAAATAGTACTCAATACATCAATTATAGAGCAACATAGAAATACCACTGTTAAAATAGTGCTCAATACATCAATTATAGAGAGATATAGAAATACCACTGTTAAAATAGTACTCAATATATCAATTATAGAGTGATATAGAAATACCACTGTTAAAATAGTGCTCAATACATCATTTGTAGAGTGATATAGAAATACCACTGTTAAAATAGTGCTCAATATATCAATTATAGAGCAATATAGAAATACCACTGTTAAAATAGTGCTCAATACATCAATTATAGAGTGATATAGAAATACCACTGTTAAAATAGTGCTCAATACATCAATTATAGAGCAATATAGAAATACCACTGTTAAAATAGTGCTCAATACATCAATTATAGAGTGATATAGAAATACCACTGTTAAAATAGTGCTCAATACATCAATTATAGAGTGATATATGAAAATAAAATATTCTAAACCTGTAAAGTTAGCGTTACTAAAAGGACATCAAGAATAGCCTGGGTAGCAAGAGATCTGTATTGTCCCAGGATCCAACCAATCTTTTGTCTGGTAGTCTAGATTGTTAGATTATATTTGCTTTGAGGATTTTTTCTTTATTTTTTTTGTTAAATTTCATGCCTTTTATCTTTTAAACAGGCAGAAACCCCGCCTTTATTTACACTTAAAAACCCATTACATTACATTACATTACATAACATAATATATAAAACCATTGTCAACCACTTAGTTACATGTAGTAACTTGGGAATATACAACAATAGACTGATTGATTTTCACATAATCAATAAATACATTCCCATCTTCAAGCTATTACAAACTTCATCTTCACAATGTCAAGTTATTACAAACTTCATCTTCACAATGTCAAGCTATTACAAACTTCATCTTCACAATGTCAAGCTATTACAAACTTCATCTTCACAATGTCAAGCTATTACAAACTTCATCTTCACAATGTCAAGCTATTACATACTTCATCTTCACAATGTCAAGCTATTACAAACTTCATCTTCACAATGTCAAGCTATTACAAACTTCATCTTCACAATGTCAAGCTATTACAAACTTCATCTTCACAATGTAAGCTATTACATACTTCATCTTCACAATGTCAAGCTATTACAAACTTCATCTTCACAATGTCAAGCTATTACATACTTCATCTTCACAATGTCAAGCTATTACCAACTTCATCATCACAATGTCATACAAAAATAATAGGTTAACAGTGTGAAGATGTTATATTCTAGGCGTAGAAATATAACACACAGACAACAAAATTGATTTTATATTCACAGAAAAACGAGAAATGGTTAAAATCAATTTTTTATTCGCTGGTTTTATTCCAATCAAATTCTAATTGAACCATGGAAGACTGCTTCTGCTTCATATAAATATACAAATATTCAAACAGAACCTCAAGATATCATACTGTTACTGAGTTTCAAACTATTCAATCTTCAGGCATCAGACCTACTTTTAGCCTGCATCCCTTCTGAAGTTGGACAAGAAGAACTTGTATAACAAGTATAACAAAGGATACTCCTCACCCCACTCTCCTACCCCCTCGCATGTTTTTTGGGTAAAAATCTCATTACTAGGTTAAAAATTCTGGCAACATCAGATATTTCGCACCTCCTTGTACTGGCTTCAATGATTATATTTTTCTACAAGCCTCCTTAATACCACAATTCTAAATTCACTGAGTGTACAGAAGAAAAAGATCAGATTTAAAACAAAAGGTCACTAAAAGTGGACAATGAGGGAACTTTTGCTCCAACAATAGCATCAGCCTACTCTGTGTCTAAAAAAATAACAATGAGAACTTCAGTGATATTAGCCTAGTAGGCTTGTCTTCTTTTCCTTAACCGAAATGATTTTAAAACTTAAGGTCACTATAAGTGCACAATGGGGGAACTTTTGTCAGGACAGCCTACTCTGTCTATAAATACTAAACTGAGACCAAGGTCAGCATTAAAACATAAGTTCACCGTAATTATCACTTCCCTGTAAAAAGTAAATAATGGAATAAAATGAGTAAAAACGCGTATTTTTGTCAAGATGTAGGTAAAGAGAGTAAACACAAAGCTAGAGGAGAATTATCCACCCTGAAAGTCAACATAGACCATAGAAATGACGACACGTTTTAAACGAGACTTCAACGCAGGGTTGGCGGTTTAATCAACATTCTTTATTTTCTCTTTTTATTTCATTTAGCTTTCTTAACATTGCCCCTTTACTGAATAAAAATGATTAAAAGTTTTTTAGTTGAAGAAAATAACTTTAAATATAATCCTTTTCAACATTTAACACATTTTTACAAATATTAGGATACGGGGCAACTATCAAGCTTATAACTTCAACCTTTTTTACCTATTGAACAAAAAGTTAAAATTCAACACTAAGGGCCATATACAGCCCTCGTACTTTACCTAAACTTTGACAAAGGTTAGACTTAAGTCAAACTTTAGGTATGCACCGGTCGATCTTGACGAAAGTCGTGCTTAAATTGGACTATCAAATGTAGAAAATGAAAGCCTTAATCCTAAATTTGTAAAGTTCGACTTTAGCCAAAGTTCAACTTTAGTCAAGGTAAGAGCGCTGCATACGGCCCTAAGAACCACTATTTGCTCAGTGTTAAACAGTCCTCATTAAGTTTTATATTCCAAACATTGCACCCTTATACCACATAACCACAACTAAATGACAAACCTTTTTTGATCAATGAGGAAGGATTTGCTTTATTCTGAATTTTTGGGAGACAGAAAGGTTAACGTAATTCCGTTAACCTTTCCCCTTATTTGAAAAACAACATTTGAATATACCAAACATTAGTAGGGTGTAATAAAATAAATGTAAAATAGAAACCCTTTAATAAAAACCCTTCATACCTAATACTAAAAACTGGTAACCATGACAATATATTATAAACAATGTTGTGTTTCTATGACAATAAAAGTTAATAGAAAGTTAAAGAATTCTGATTAAGTATCTACTTAAAACTTAATTAAAGCAATAACATGCAGCTTTTATTGTCTTGGCCCAGATGAAGTTTAAAAAAGAGGAAAAAAATTCTCAAATGAAATCAAATTGAAGTTGATGTCACATTTTTTTCCTTTTCGCTCAGGTTTATCAAGTATACGGTGTTTTTACAGCCAACACGAAATATGACTATACAGTCACTTTCCCTGACCTGTATCACTGATAGAAGGAGTAAAGTTGAAAAATCTGATAATATAAATAACATCTCATACAACTACTCTATACACAGCTCTGAGTACTTAGAGAATTATTTACATTATTTTATATACCCTACTACCAGACACCATGCCTAGTATCCAACACTAGTTTCACTTTCGATTCCTTCAGTTTTGAGACTTGTCAAAAATATCAAAATATAGTCTTACCTCTCCTCTCAAACAATTTCTATCCAACTGAAATTTTTCACTTTTTAATACATCTTATCACACCTGAAAATAGACAAATAATAATTAATATAAAAACTTTAAATAACATATAGCTAGGATTGAGACATCTGGGTTGGTGAGCATAGGTCTACTTCATCCAATCACAGAGGTTTCACAGAGTTCAATAAATTTATTCTCTGTATATTTGCAAGACTCTTGGCTGTATTGATAAATCATTAAATAAATCATAAACACTTTTATAAAATTTGTAGCACACAGGGATTCCGTTAATTGTTCATCCAAATAACTTGACACTCTGACCATATCTGATTCTTAAACCTGAATCACTGACAGGGGGAAACTGGATTTAAAAATCTAACCTATGAAAGGATTGAACAAGAAACTTCAGGTTAGCGAGCAAGCAAAGTCAATAAATATAAACTAACTATTTCTATATATAAAGTGACAAGAATCATACTGTAAAAAAGGTTCCAGAATGGATTAGTCAATATATCAAAGCTTACACAACACAAGACGACTGAATATAAAGAGTGTATAATATAAACTTCTTTCTCAGGGGTATAAATTAACAATGGAAGAAACTTATATAAAATTAAACTATAGAAATCTTTTTAATTTAACCTTGTATTTAAATCATAATTTAGAGTCCATATTCTATCAGTCAGTCAGTCCTTATTCTCATACCATAAAAACATAAAAATATTTTATATCAATAAATTTAAACCATAAATACTTCGAAAACCTTTCAATTTAACCTTCAATATTCACTGTAATTTAGAGTCGATATTTAAACACAATCAGCCTAGGTCCCAATTCTCAAACCATAAATACATAAAAATCTGTTACATTAATAAGTTTAAGGAAATGATGGATCAATGTTTTATATTTTACAGGAAATCAAGTTTGACAGTTTCCTTAAATTGATATTTCAAGAGATTTTCCACTTTAACAAACCCAAAACCTAGAATATTCCCTTATTTACAAATCCATAATAAACAAGTTTCAATATCAACAATATAAACTTTACAGTCCCTTCCATTTAGATACAATAACCTATTTATACACGGAAATAATCTCTTATTTACAAATCTTACGAAAAATATTCCTTGTTCTAAAAAATTTAATCAATATAAAATTCCGATTTTAGGAAATACAGAAATCTGATTGGATAATAAAACTTAATTTAAAATCAATTAGTGTTTGACTAATCATTTAAACTGGAAAACTATTAAAATAAATTTTCCAGAATAATACCCCTGCTTTCAAAAACATTCATTAACTTCGCTGTCCCTTGCATACAAAATATTTAATGACACACAAATACTCATAGAAATTTTTCCTTATTTACCAATCCAAAATGACAAGGTTTTTGTTTTTAACAATATGAAATTTATGTCCCCTCTTTGAAGACTGTAATAATACACAGTAAGTTTTCCCTTCTTAACTAATCTGATAGGAACAAGTCTGATTAATTTTCAACAGTATAAAATTTGACTTTACGGCATACCAATACGCATATATACATTAACCTTATTCATTAATTCAAAAATAATTCACTGCCCTTTCATAAGAGAAATATAATAGTACATGTATACCAATACACTCATTGATATTGCCCTCCGATGTAAACACCATTCTGTTTTAAAAACGTGACATAAACTTACCTACCATAGAATAAACAAATATAAAATGCACTTTTAAAATTCAACACAGAGTTATATATTTCCTTTCTTTATACACCAAATAAAAAAAAACTGTCCTACAATAGACCGATTCACAGAGAAAACGTTTTCTGTCGTACAATACACCACTTCTCTACGGCAATGTTTATGTCCTAAAGTAGACCAATTCC